CAGCTCTCTCACTCTTACCCCTGTCTTCCCCTCCATCTCCCTCTCTCTCTGCAGGTACCGTCACAGCTATGACTCTGAGTTCACTGCTCCTCTGGTGATGTACCACGTGTGGCCAGCCTTGATGGAAGGAAACTCCGTCATAGTGAAGGGCGAGGCAGTGACCAGAAGAGGTGCTCCGGTACAGACTCTTTTTAATTCAGAAATGTGCTCTGTAGAACATTGTAAGAGCATGAAGCCCATATGGAGATGCTCTTGCATTCAATGGTGATGTGTTTGTTTTTTGCAGTGGAGTAGAAGCCGCAACCAGAGCAGGAGTGCCAGCCCTGTGCGCTCTCGCTCTCTCAGCCCAACTCGCAGTCTTGTAAGTCTTTATAATATTTGAGAGTGCAACAAACCACACTGGAGGATAGGCGCAGTTGCTGGTTTTGGTATTACATGTCTTTTTGGGCTTTAAGATGCTAAAATGTATAATCCAAATGTATAATTTTCCACTTAATAACATGCATGCACATCAATGGCCCTAAGGGTATGTACTTCATAATGTCCACTTCATTTATCAAAGCTTTAATGTACTCTAAAACTGTAAATACAAACATTACCATTATCTTTTTTAGGCATTTAACAGCAAAAGAAGCCTGTCCCCTGAACGTCTCACAGCTAGCTGCCTGTGAACTCTCCTTCAACAGGACAGGAATCCACACCGTCATGTCTGACATACTCTAAATTCTGTTTCATCTGTGCAGTTATGCAAACGTCTGCTTCCACCAAATAAAGCAATAAAAATCTCAGATACCAAAGGCTGTTTAGAGTTTACATCGTCAGAGGGTAGTTTTATGGGAAACTGACACTAACATGATGTCAGAAGATGAAGTAAAAGATGATGGCAGCTAAATGAACTGTTGTCTTGAGTGTATTATATTCAATGAGTTACTTTAGGTTATTAATAGAAACTAACAGTGTTTTTTAGCAGTAGTGAGACATTTAAAGTATGTTTTTCTGAGGAAGACTTGACCTGCACAGTAACACTTTCATAGTCCGACAGTGGACTATAGAATCACAATGCATAGAGCATGCAACATGTAAGACTCTTTTCTTTCACTATAAGTCTACACAGCAGAATACTTTAGGTATGCAGCAGGGCGTACAGTATGGTGCTAATGGTCAGTGCTAACTTCAACTCCTCCAGTACTTTATTGACTGATCTTAGTCATTGCTCCTTTAAGTCGTGCTGTGTCTTTCCCCCCCTTTCTTATATTTTGGTGCTGTTATTTTATATTGAGTTCTGACATGTGATGTAATGCCGCCATAGCAGCATGTTTATAATATGAATACATAGAGGTAGTTATAACTTTAAACTCCACAAAAATGTTTTTCTTATATGATTAGTTATTTGCAGCAATGTCTAAATGCATCCAATATGACATTCTATTTATTTACATTCCATATATTATCACCAGGTACATTGACATATCTGATACTTCTGTACATGATTTGCCTGTTAATGTCTTGACTTTACATATCATAGTAGATTATTCATTTTGATTTAACTTGTGGTGTGTGATGAGTATATTCTTTTAATAGTACCTTATTGTTTTTTTTATGAATAAATGACAAAATGTTTAATTTCCGTGTTTGTTTTCAGTGTTTTATTTACTACATATATTTTAAGCAGCCTTACTAGCAGTGCAGCATTTGTAAGGCATCTTGATCAATTACAAGTGAACACATGATGGGGACATATTTGGAACAAACACTTTTTTAAATCTTGAACGCTTCCTTCTAGACGATTTCTTTGATTTACATTTTGTGGAATCACAAGTTTTACTACTATTCTGTTTTACCAGTAGATGGCGCTGATACTCCATCACTAACGAAAGGTCAAGCGGTAAAATCACTGCAGTGGTTGTGAGACAACTTCTACAAGGTGAGTTCTTACCAGTTTTTTCAGATTTGGCACATCCCACATGACACAGCGAACATTAGACAACCTTAACGACACCATATTCACTAAAAAAAAAGGCAAACCATCCCTAAAAAATATAATATGGGAATAGTCAGTTTAGTCACTGTGCATAATGTCTGATTGCTAGAGCAAGATGGATGTTTACATCAGCAACATCCCTCCTGCAATGCTCTCATTGGGTGTTTTAGCCTCTAATGAGGTCTGTCTGCAGGCCTCGCCCAGTCCTGCACCAGCCTGCCTCATCAGCCGAAGCAATTACACTGTCAGCTTCTCAAACCATATCTAATTTCTGCGACCAGGCATTTGTTCTGCAGAGCAGAATCTGAAGCTGCAGCAGGCGTCCATTTCCCCAGAGTATTCTGGTTAACAGTCTCAAAGCGTCTCACATTGTTGCAGATGAGGCACAGTTTATGTTTAATGTTTATTTGCATTTACAGCCGTAGCTGTAGCCATGTTAATATTCGTCCATTGTTCCTTTCCCAAATTCCTTTTTTAATCAGATGGAAATAATTATAATGGATAATAATATTCAGCCACCAGTGATTTCACTCAGCTGAACATTATCTGTGTACTGATACTGAATGAAGTTTGTTGTGCGTTCATAGCTGCGGTGATTAGTTTTCCACATCAGTAAATGCTGTTTGTGATTTTGTGTTTACAACTAAATACTTTGAATGCTATTGGATGACAGAGCTTGAATAATATCATCTTATGGTTTTCGCCACAGAAGAAGAGAAGAAATATGTGCCGTGGTTTCCAGTGTCATTCCAGTGTGAGCAGGGATCCCACGCTAACCTCTGTCGTGTTTACTCCAGAGAATCATTAAAATTCACAGCATCCTCACAAAAACACAAACTCTCCTTTGTCAGCATCGGCATTAAAGATGATTCTGAAAGACTTGGAGAAAATGTATTGGAAAAAGAGGGGCACATTATGCAGAGAGCCATGTCATGGAAACTTCCACTGTGCCTTCTCATCACATTCCCACACAATGAATGTGTTGTCTGATGTGCAGCAGTTTCTGAGAGGTCCTGGCTCTTGGGACTCAGGCCAGGTCCTGCTGCCATGTTGTAACTGAGAGGGAGCCTGTCGATGCTGTCTCAGATCAGTTCTCTGTGCCTGGGGGGGGGGGTTGTTTGCTCAGGTGCGCAGTGGTCATCTGTGGTCATGACCCGAGACCTATGTGGCCATCTCTCACACAAGTGCACTAACAGAAAACATGAATGCAAAATTCACAACACAACTGCGAATGCCACAAATAAATGCGGCAGTGACAACACAACTGCAAAAGCCACAACACACATTCGAAAGTCACAAAATGAATGCAAGAGTCATAACACAAATGGAAAAGTGACAACACAATTGCAAAAGCCTCACAAGGGAAACACAACTCCAACAGAAATAAGCGGATGATGACAATGAAATATGCTGTGGAAACTTGGACAGGCTGGTCAATTTTTAAATTTGAGGTGTTATGGTACAAGTGCATTCTTCCTTTTTGGCTGCTCCAAGCACCTGTACCTTAGCACCTCAGTAGACAAGCATCTCATTTTTATGCTTATCTGGGTTTTCACTAACGATGGCTCACTTGTCCCATATACCCATGAGTTGACAACAGGAAGTCAACATCCCTTGTTGCTCACTTCTCTTGTGGTTTTTTCCATTGTGTGGCTTTTGCGGCTGTGTTTTGGCTTTTGCATCCGTGTTGCGACTCTTGTCATTGGGTTGTTACTTTTGCATTTGTGTTTTCCGTAGTCATATGTCTCGACCATTGTATGAGACTGTGTACAGATATGTCGGTGGGAGAGAAGTTTGTTAACTGGTCAGGTCACTGGGACTTGATTTTAGAGGGAATAGTAATCCTCTGGTAGTGAATGAGACTGACAGTAGTCGTTGGAGCTCACCCTAAACACACTCCGAGCTGCAAACCCAGCTAAAGTTTCCAGTTTGGTGGCAGGAGCCTGACTCATCACTGCTGGACCGTGTGATGTTTCCTCTGGCTCCTCATCATGTGCTCAGTACTGGCTAGAGTCGAGTTTCTGGCGGTCGAGTGTGATGAGTACGCGCCCTGAACCCACTGCCAGACCAGAGGGGGGATTATTAATGGGGCTGTATATCACAGCACACAATGACATGGTTACGGTTGACCAGCCTGTGGTGTGTAAATCACAGGCAATATTAAAATAGACAGAGGGGAGAAGGAAGGAAGGAAATCAAGGCAACAACACAGTGGAGGTAAGTGGGGATGTGCTCAAGTGAGAAAACTGCTTGTTCTTCAGGTACTAATATGATTTCTTCTCTAGTTAAGTAACATTTCAACAGAGGAGTCAATGAGCCACTGCAAGTTGACCAGGCATCTGTGTCTCAGTATTGTCTGTGGTCCAGAGAGGCCATTAAACACATCTGGAACAGAGCGGGATGCACACAATTTACGACAGGAGGGACCAAACAGAAGTAGATACAGACACGGTGCTCATGACTGTTGTGGCATACATCAATCCAATGTTGTGTGTGAATAATTGTAAGTCCACAAACTCAGCCCCACCCGCTTTTTATTCCCCGTTTACACTCTTCTGGAACACCCAAGGGTGTCCTCCTTGGCGCTAGCAAAGTGCATGAGATCATGGTGAGGGGCTGGCTGCAGGCACCAGCTGGTGGATGCTGCATGAGGAGGAATCAGGCGTGACCGCTGGTCTTCTTCTCAGCTCCAGTGAGATCAGACATCAAGTGACCAGATTCCTCTGCCAGAGATAAACACTTCCTTCCTTTTCTCTATGACGACTGTGATATCAAATAAAGAAAAACGACTTAAAAGTTGGACTCTCTTTTTCCCAGTGCAGACATTTATCTTTGTTTCCTCTTCCTGCTCCGTCAGCCGCTGCACATCTGGGCCCAAGTCAAATGATTTTATGTGCCTTCTCCAAAATAGTCAGTTTCTCACAAACTGTGATGCGATGTGTTGATTTCCTGACACCAGAGACGGAAATTAAATGTTTCAATTATTAGTGCAATTCCAGAAAAAACACATTGACTCTCAAAAAAATCATATTTTCCTCATGAAATCAGCACAGGTGCTTTCTTATGAGCTGTGCAGACCTGGCCTGGTGATCGTGTGCCCGGCCTTTCAAGATCTTGAAAGAGCAGGGACACAAAAGCCCTGCAGAGCCCAGAGTGAGGTGATGTGGTTCATGTATTTTCCACAGGATCGTTTTAAACACGTCGTTAAATTCTCACAGGCTGTCGTGACCTTTTCCTCTCTTTTCTGGAGGATTGAGACGTTCAACGAGATGTCAGTGGCCTGGCAGAGAGAAATTCATTTACATTTTCAGATCTCACAGCAGCAAAGCAAAGATGTCAATCTGTGCTGTAATTACATGGTTTGCTTTGTTGGGAGCTGAACTCAACCTACCTCTCGTCTCCAGAATGCTCCATATGAAAACACATCTGGATGGTGTGATTAATGGGAATAACAGCCACTTACATTACAGACTAGCACTGGCAGGGTACGAGGGCCATGAAGGCAGGTGTGAGCATTTGAGGTTACTGCTCCACTGGGGCTTGTTACACTTTTCGTTTGACGGAAACAGACGATTAAACCTGGCGCCAATCTAGTGGCCGACTGGCCTTAGTGCTGAAGACCCCCACCCAGAACAGAGATGGTGGAAGTGAACATTAGAGGGGGAGAGAGAAAGAAAAAAAGAAAGATCTGGTGGATCTGAAACCTGTAATAATAACCACCTCACAGAAAACAAGTACTACTGTTAAATACATGGAGACTTTCTTGTGGCTGTGGTTTGACCTCTGGGGTCTTTACAGCTTCACTTATACCCACTGAACACATAATCACGTCTTCAGATGTGTCTTTTGTCTATTTCTGTCTCTCATGCACTAAAGAGACAGACGAGGAGACAGAAATAAAACAATTTTCTGCTAAATAGATTTTCACAGAACAGACAAATTCAAAGAGGCTGACAGAACAAGTAGAACATCACAATAAAATGTACATAACATCAGTAGCATTGTGTTGTGTAATTCAATTTGTCTGTGTTTAATGACGAATAGGTGAATGTGAAAAGGCGACTGGATTGGATCTGATCTTTCACTTCGGGATTAGCACATACACAGTGTTATGCTCTCCCTTTAGAAGTATTGTAATTCCACCACTAGATGGCAGTTAAACATTAGAATTCACTTCTGTATGTCCCAGTTTCTTACACGGTAGAGGAAGTATAGCAATCATTTAGTTAAGTACAAAGTAGTAATACCACAATGAAAAAACACTATTATATACAGTCTTGCTTTCAGAGTTCTACTTTAGTAAAAGCATTATCAGCAAAAAGTACTCAAAACCAGAATGTCACTAAATCCAGATTTTTATTTGGATCTCCACCAAATTGCTCACACTCATAAATCATTCCCCTGAACATGATCCATCTGTTATTCTCAGAGAAATCAATGCAGATGTTGCAAAACGCCTCATAATGTTAAAATTTAAAAAATACATGGATCCACAACAACATGTAATGAGTTCTTCCCTGACACATGCAGCATCCCTCCACCAGGTTTTGTGGAAATCAGAAAACAGAGTCTCCTTGGCAGAGGTAATACAAGTAC